GATTAAGCCAAACTCGAGTTGGAAGAAGATGAAAAAGAAATTGAAGACAGATCTCTTGTTTTTTTTGTTTTTTTTGAAGTGTTTGGGTTTGGTTTCTTGAAGTTTTAGATCGAATTTAATGATTTTGTCTCTCTCTTGTACATAAAAGCTAGTGAAATAGAGATATTCACAGGAAACGTTTTTTTAAGTTTAAAAAATAAAGATTTTTTTTTCTTTCACGCGGTAAAATTGACCTTGGTCTTGGTGCAGTAATAATTAAAAAAAAAAATCATTTTCACCTAAAAACTTAATTGAAAAAGGTACAAGATAGGAGAAGAAAACAAAAACTAAATGAATAAAAAATGTGTAGAGTATAGATAGAGTTAACTAAAAGAGTTGACATTAAGTCAATGGCCTTTTTTCTTCACACAATTACGAAAAGGAAAAATCTCGTCAAACTGAAACCCCCTTTTACACTTCCTAACTCCAAAGAGGTTTAATTTTGTGTTTGTAACGCTTGTTTATAGATCGTGACAAAAATAAAACAATTTATTGATTTAAAAACAAAAAATGCAGATGTATCATGAAGAAAAACACAATGTATAAAACGGATCCAGCCGCTACTACTATGAACAAAACATGCAATATAGAATATAGATCCCATTCCTCAAAGAAACAAACACAAATTACACATATGTAAAAAGAGAGAGAGAGAGAGAGAGATCTTACTCTTTGACACACAATGAAACCCTAGCTTCGAGTCTTCTCTCGTTCTCTTTCTAGTGCAGGACAGAAGATGGATGTGGAGAGTGAAAAAACAAACTAAAAGGGCTGATAGAAAAGTATAGTATGGTTAAGATTCAGAAGAAGAAGAAGAAATAGAGAATTTTGAGAATTAGGAGGAAGGGAAGAGAAGAGAGGTGAGGAGAGGAGAAGGATGTGGCAGAAGGAAAAGGAGTTATTGCGAAATGCATAGAGAGGGTGCATTGCATTTATGATTATCGAAAGCTCCTTTAATGCATTTTTCTCTAGTGAGAGAAATTTTCATACTACATTTTTTCTAGTGAGAGAGAGAGATAATATAAGTTTTCAATTCATCAAGTTTCAAAAAAAAAAATTCACTGTTTTTGACATCACGGATTCTCTTAGGGTAAGAAATAAACAACCGAATAAATCATTTGAGAAAATTGAATATTACCATTTCATGGTCATTGTATCTATATGCTTGTGATTAATTAATTATACTAGTAGTTCGTTTATACTTGAGTATGTATATGATGGATGTATCTCAATACGATCAGAATCATAAATAAGTGTTTTGATTTTTTTGTGTTGCTGCATACTGCATATTAATTGCATGTGTGTCCAATATATATGGACATATAAATGCTTTCTATGGTACTTTAAATACTCACAATTAGTATACACTTGTATTGTATCATTCAATAATGTGTGCATCATATCAAAGATTCTGATAACATACTTGAATATAACTCTAGCTCTATAAATTAGCATGAGCTAATTATATTCGAATATACCAACAGGTAATTTAATCAGTATTAGCTTCTTCTAATGGTTGAATAATGGTGATGAGATTATGTATGTAGTAGGACTACATTTAGGTCTTAATTAATTATGCTGTCATTATAAAAGTACTTTTAACAATTTAATCTCAAACGTAAGTAAGCAAGATTCTGTAATATTCAAATGGTAGGCGCTTGTTTAAGAGATTAATTTAAAGTTCCACAATACATGACATTGACACCACGACCGTCATTATATACTAATAACTAAGCAATCCAAATTTTTCCAAGATTATTAGACACATTTTTTAATTGTACAAATCGCTATTATAATGGTCCACACCTCTTCCTAATTATGTACTCTCCTTATTTATATCCTCAATTGATCAAAATCCAAAAGACTAAAGCAAATATTATAGTCAAAACATTTTCATCTTTTGGATGATGTCATACTGAATCTATCAATATACGTGTATACTCCAGCGGCATATATAATTATATGTTTTTAAATACTAGAAAATGAAAATGTACACTAATTTGTGAGTGTGGATGAGATGGAAACTACGTAAGTTCCAAAAACATCTAAAAATGAAGAAAAGAAAGAAAAAGGTCAAAGTAATATTTAATGGTAGTTTTGGATTAATTATCTTAATTAAAAAATTGGACAGTGGATTGACTAATGTAGTTGGGGAGCATGCAATATCCATTGTGGACCATGGTCCAAGAAACAGCTCATTACATTAAGATTTTACATCACACAATAACATATACGTACACTGACTTGATTCAGACATTCATGCATGTCATGACATAGATGCAAACACATTACACATACGGTTATAAATTGGATTTTAAGTACAAACCTGACGTGTTATATTTTGTGATCATGTGGTTTTGTATTAAGCTACGCTTTGTTTTGCACATATACTATAATATGTTTTCAACAAGAAGATGACAAAATCCACTTTTACAATAATGTCTATATAGTACGTGATACGTGGTATACATAATAACATATACACAAGGCAAAAAAATAAAAACAGAAACCTAATTAATACCAATCAATGTAAACATAATTACACAAAAGTATCATTTGTTTATTAGTATCATAAAACTGTGAGTTATATGTAAAACCAAACGACATTAAAATTATAGTTTTCTTCTATATGAAATAGTCAAAGGAGAGCTACCAAAAATATTTAATAAAGTTTTGAGGGGGGGTCATATGTTTGTTTCTGACGCACGACCCTGCATTGCATATGCATAAATATGCCAATGGGGCTATTAAGTATATGTGTTCAGCAGCAACCAAATATATATCTCTTGCGTTGGAAAAAGTTGGTTGAGACTCGTCTTATTTGGGAAAGGTTGAAAATTTGTTCACAAGTTCCTGATAAGACAGTGGTAGCTCCATTTGGTTTATAACACTCATCATCTCTTTGAAAAACAATTGGTGAAATCATTTGTGTTCTAGAACTTGAGTTTTGAAATAACCTGATGATAATGGTCTCTAATCAAAAGAATTATCAATCGAAAAATTAAAAGAAATGGTCCGTGGTTAATTTTTGTTTAGCTGTTATTTAGTGACCCATTAAAGAAGGTTTAACACAAAAGTCTTATGTGTGGAGAGGTACATTACACATTTACACATAGGCTAATTTACGTCCACTCTTTTAATGTGATTTAAATATAATGCGATCATTCATATCCCCGAATCAATGATTATCTCAATAAACTTTCTTGCATTTGTCGTTTCGGATATAATTTGGACCTCTATCGAAAGTTTGATCTCGATTTAATATATATAATAACTAAGTATGGATGTGAAAAAGTACTTAAATTATTCCGTTAACTATGCTGATCATATGATATTAAATTACTTATTGTATGATGCAGCCCCGCTTGTAGTTGTTGATTATAGAAATTAATATTAAGTTTAACGAACTGATACACTCTATGTATAGCTTATCATTGTTAAACTCTACGTAGGGGGAATCTATAATACATTCCAATGCTTAGTTGTTCCATTACGTTCCTATATCTATGCTATACCTTAGATAAATTCATCACTTGTCGTTTTTGTAATACGAGTCAATACGACGACGTATAAAAATGCGTTGGCAGAAGCAAGCAATCGACATGTAGTGCACTTCGTCTAGATGGAAACGACATGACGTGTAGATGATTTTGTCGGGATGAGGAGGATAAATAGGTAAATTAATGAAACTGAAACGCCTTGGAGTTGTGGGGACGTTTCCTTCTTCTAGTGGGAAAGAGCGACTTCTGCCTACCAACTAACTCATTTATTGCCTTCCAATTTTATTTTTATAACTCCAAAACCCAAATTCAGAAAATTATATTATATTTTTATTTTATATTTTTGGTCCAATGAATGATTATTTTCAGTAATTTGAAACAAAGTTTCAATACAATGAATCATGTCTCAGTTTCTGAATGATTAGCACATTTTAGAAACCATATGCATCGTTTTGTTCTTGTTTTTTTTCTTTTTGTCTTTGATAACAAACAAGTTTTAAAAAAATTGGGTGCACTTCATAATCAATATGAAAAGTTTAGTTATGTCAAAAAAGAAACTAAATTTCTTTTTCAAAGTTACTACTTTCTTTTTAAGTATAATAATAATGGTTACTTTGTAAATGGTTACTTTTAAAGATGAGACCAGTAATCATATATATGCTGAAAATAATAGCTAATAGTATACTTACTACTTTACAATTGGTTAAATATAGCCAACTTGTTTGATTATCATTTATAATAATAACACGATTTGCTAAAACCTAACATGTAAAAAAAAGTTTGGTCAAAAATTAGAAAATACATATGCGTAAACGAAATGTTCCTCTTCTTATTTTGTACGTACTTGTTCTTTCTACAATATTGTCTGTAGAGTTTGGTTGTAGATGTGAAAACTAATCACCTACGGGATTGTATAAGCTTCTATAAAACTAACCAACGCTAGAAAAACCATACGACATTCATATATATATGGATCGTTAAGTTCATAATTAATATATATGTGACGACGTACGTACTAAAATGATGACAAAACTAATCATATGCATTTTCTTTATGTCAACAACTAATCATATATATCCTACAATTTTGTCCCACTCTTTTATGCACTTTCAAAAAGATTTTATAAGTAACGGGCCGTCTAAAGCTATATATTATAAGCCTTCAGCCTCATTTGTTCTTGATGAAAGTCTCTGGCCCCTATATATACTTGTACCATGCTTATTTGTAAGATTTTGTATAATCTAATTTTTTAATCAATAGATACGATATTACGATGTATGTCTTTGGTAAGAGTGCAGATTAATCTATACGATTTGGCAATGTACCAAGATCATATAAGAGATTATAACAGTATATCCTAAAGTCCGAATGTAGATTATAACAGAAAATAAGGTAAAACTAAATGAATGTATACTACAAACAATTAAATAATTGTTTTTTCCTTTTTTCTTGTACGTCTTTCTACAATGTACACAGAAGTTGAGCAAATATGAGAAACAACGAAAACAAACACTTTGAACAAAATAAAAATCACAAGAAACTACGCAAAACAAAATCCCCTTATGGAAAAGATGTGACACAAGCTTTGATATATATTAGTTCAGTACTCTAGTTATGCATTAGAGTTTAACCGAGATATCATTGATTTATGCGAGGATTTAGATAAACCCATTGATCTCGACGATTTTGGAGATGGTAATTTGGATCTTGGCGATGATGTCGAAGATGGTTTCTTTCTCCTATTCTTGCTCTTAGTGTGAATCTTGCTTAAACCTAATGGAATTGGTGGTACATCTCTTATCCTATCCGGTATAGTAACTTGGTTTGATCCCTCATCAAAATCTGTAATTAATTTAGCAAAATCACAACAACTCCATTTAATATTTTTAACCCTTCACTAAAATGTATTTGAAATACATTCAAATGCAAAGATTAAAAATTACCACTGGAAGCAGAAGTGGTGAAGAAAGAATCTGAATGTCTTGCATGACCAAAAGATGATGCTCTTGGAGATAAAACCTCTGGTCCTGCCGTAAAGTCACTCATCTACACCTCCCAGGAAACAGTTAAGTTTATGAATTAAACATCGTTAAAAACTAAGATTTGATATTAGTCTTACAAGTAAACGTTAGAGTTCGGATCATACTCCTAAGAGCATGGTTTATGAGGGCCTCATCATGAGGCTTGATAAGTAATACAAGGATTAAGGATTGAAGTAAAACACATACTTTAAAGAGAGAGGGATGATCATAGAGAGCTTACCCAACAAGGAGCACTGCCAGAGGAGCCCTCCCAACCAACATGGGCCACATGTTTTACTTCTGTTGGGTACCCAATCTCTAGATCTCTTTCTTTCACAACTGTTTGACCAAAATAATTGTTTTCTTTCCAATCATTTAACAGCTGGTATTGTTATATTAATCACAGAAAACATCTTTAAGATATAATTGAATGCTCTTTATAAATCAATAACATGGACCATAGTGGCCATATAATGGACCGAAAAAATGTTTTTGTGGGAGTATACTTGAATTCACGTAATTTACACTTTTATATTATAAGATTGATTGATATATATTGTTATTTCATGTCTAGAACTTACGGTTGAGAGAAAGTTTGATAGATCAGCATATAATGGAGGTTAATAAGATTAGATGCAACTAAAGTCTGGTAGAGAAAGTTATACCAAACATTTGAGAGATGGATTTGAAGCTTTTGTAGATGCCCTTCATCTTCATTGCCATGGTTGAATATATTGATGGAGAAGACTACAAGCCAACTCTCAAAATCTTTTATGAAAGTTTACAATTGTAAGAAGCTCAATTCACCAGCACACTATTCCTTAACTATTGCAGAAGTAAGGTAACAAGCAAAAACATAACAACACAAATCATTAATTAAAAATATATATAAGAAACATTACGAAACATGCACACATATATAAACGTAACAACGAGAGTAGGATATATATGCATGTAATGTTTTATCCCATGGAAGTAGATTACTAGTACATTTTAATCAAAATTTATGAGCACTCAAACTTCCACAATCCATATGACCTAACCTCATTAGCATATGCATTTTAGTTAACCTATGATGCTCTTAGAGTTAAAAATCATGCCATAATATTAAAAAATGACATTGTAATCCCATAATATTTGTGGCATGTGTATATTTGTTGTGAATATATATAAAAGGAAGTTTTCATTAAGAAAAAAATACCTGGATATTATTATAGAGACGCTATGTTAGGGATTCTCGTGTGAACGAAATATAAGAGAAGCTCTTCTTTCATTTGATGGAGACAAAGCATTTGGGTATGAAGAAGTTCTTGCTAAGCAAACATATGACTTCGCATACAAAATTACAGAAGAGAATATTAAGATATGGCCTTATGATGATGGTGAAGATGAGTGAAGGAAGAAGAAGTATGGCTTGATCGGGCAAGAGAGAAGAGAGTGGGGAACCATGACACTACTTGTAGTATACAATCATATATGTAATTAATTAATTAATTTCTCCAACTACAAAGAAACTATTTTCTTTGTTTAATTTGAGAATGTTTATGATACAAGATAAACATTGCTTAGTTGTAGTATATATAGAACATTGAAATATACGTGGACATTTTACAGAATTGTGATTAATGACAATGTTATTTTCATTTTACATTGTTATCGACCAGAATCATAATTAATATATCGTCTGTGTACATCGTTATTTCTTTCATCCTATTCAAAAGAGATATTAATTAGTTACAAATTGTAACTTACGATAGTGAAAATTGCGATGATTAATAAACTAGATATATTCCAAATAGTAGTGTACTCAATCAACTACTAGTAGCTAATTTCTAAGAACAACATAAAGTTAAAAAATAAAATCAGAGAGTCTAGGATTTGCAGCAATATGTCTATAAAAATCAATGGTAGACAACTGTCTTATGCATGCATATTGAAGTATGCTACAGTTGCATATTAAATTAAACAATACAACTTTCACATATTTTGTTTTTTCCAGTTCACGCGTTTTGTGTTTTTACCTTTCTTCGATTCCTTGGCAATTCTAAGTTTTTGTTAGCTGTGATTGAATACTGATAGGTCCCATATATACTATGAGAGTAATACAATTTTATATTTATAAAGGCTTTATTTTAGTCTAAAAGAAAAATAAAATACAATTTAGTAAATAGAGAAAGCAATATAATTAGCGATATGTAAACCTTGAGAAGTAAATATATATACCAATGCATGAGGCTACCGATTTTGTGTTTTCTTTTCCGACAATTCTAAAACACGACTTAACAGTTCTAGTGAAACGGTCCATGTATTATTCAGAAATAGCGAGTCAATAAAAAGCACTTTGAGATAAACATATAGTTCTCCACATTCATATAGAGACCACGGCAAGACTCCCATCACGTTCTCGTTAACACTAATACGATTATAATGTTGACTAATCGTTATTTAGATAAAGCAGTTAAAAAATGCAAATCAAGGGGATACCACATGATTGTGTAACAACGAACAATGATCAGACAATAAGATACGTAATTTGACTGGAAAAGTATAAAATCATCTGATCGGATATATAGGTCCCATTTGTTAGGAAGGATTATAAAAACTGGCACATCTAATTAATTTAATGCTCTCATCAAATCTTATTCTTCAACTACCATGGCCATGGGAACTTTTTGTTTTACTTTTATATTCATGTAAAGTTCTTCATAGGCTCTAATTAAGCTAATGCGATAAAACAACTGTCACAGAAATTACATATATCTTGAGACTCAATCACTCAACTTAAACTTCAAATTGCGAAAAATATCTGATTAAATAATGAAGAAGTTAGTTAGGAGATATATTTAACGACCACTTTAAAAACGTATAAAAAACAAATGATTACGTAATACAAGAACTTTCCATCAATTATAATGTTTAATTTTTTCGACACGAAGCTTCCATCTCTACAAAGTTATTTAAAGTGAACAAAACAATAGTATACTATAAAGTTATAAACCTGCTTCGTCTTCCTTAATCATTTAAGCAGACACAAGTCGAAGCCTCACAAGTGTCCCTGATAACCACAAAATATATAATACTTTGTCCTTTTTTGCCAAACAATAATAATAAGGAGAGAATAATAATAATAATAATATGTGGGTGTAACAGTGCTCTTTATAATAAAGCCTCTAGCTAACGCAACTTCAAAAAGTCGTCCAAATTAAATTTACACAAAAAGTAAAGATCACATATTAAAAGTTACTAATTAATCAAAGAAAAATTGAATTTGTAAGTGTTACTTAGAATCGTAACTAGGTGAGTCGTCAGAATGATTAATATGTTTACGATACCTAAAGAAGTAAATCAAAGTGAAAACAACAAGAAGCGCAACGCCTGAGACACCACATATTATACTCGCCGCAAGAAACACGTGCCTCATCACGTGATCGCGTCTGTCCCCGGCTCCGTCTCTCCACCAAGAATCGTCGTCTCCTCCTCCTCCTCCGTCTGCCGCCGTGGCTTTAGGGAGGAGCTGCTGAGAGCGAGAAGGAGGAGGAGAAGAATGCGGATCTCCGAAGAAGGAGTTCATTTTACCCGGAGGCGAGTTGGATTCTGTCGGTGGTGAGCTGAATTGATACTGAAGTCCATGGTCTGAAGGCCGTAGCTCTCCGGCGAGTGAGTTTCCGGCGAAGGTCAAGAGGAGTGTTACTACTGTGAAGGTGAAGATCGAGGAAGACGATGATCTAACGCGGTTTGAGAGAAGAGCCATGTGTGAGAGAGAGAGAGAAAAGAGAATTTTCTTGATTTTTGGTTCTTGACTTGTTGTTAAATTAGTGAGTTAGCTCGTTTTTTAATGTGATGTGATTTAAGTTCGAACGACGAGACGACACCGTTTTGTCACGGATGTTGATAGGTGAACAAAGTAGTGATGATAAAAAAGTGTAAGAACAATTTGTTAAAGATGATGATACCAAGTCACCAACTCTTAATCGACAAGAAATGTTTATAGTTTTTTAGTTAATATTTTATAGTTATTTTCTTCCTTTCCTACGAGACAAATCCATAACTTTTTACATTCTTAATCAAAATTATTTGTTGAACAAAAAACAAACAAACATATAATTTACATTAATACGCTACTTGATTAAACTTTACAAATCCATCACTGATGTTGTCAATGGATGTTTAAACCTGAACTCTTGTACATGTACAATAATAGGGAATAATTTTTTAATTTTAGTAATAAACTCGAGCTGTTTGTGATGTTTCTATTTCATTAATATGCGTTATTAGTGACCAAAAAAATCATGAGGACATCCACGGGACGAGTCCCACTAATATACTCTCCAATCTCCCATTACAAACTATCAAGAAAATGCTTATGGACCAATTGTTTTGAGTTGGCTACTTTTGAACATTAATACTCCCTGACATGTTAGATACCAAAAATTGAGGAGTTTCCATTGTTAGCCTTTGATGGTGGTTTGTGATTCATATCAAGCGGAAGATGCTGGAACATCCTCACTAGGAGACTTCATTGGTCTTTGAGATCGTGGTATTGGTTGTGGCTTTGGTGGTGGTGGTGGTGGTCTGATTGGTTTCACCTTATTGACTTTCTCAGCTTCAACATCAAACTGCATATGATTTAAATAGCCACAAACGTTTCAACTAAGGAAGAGTATTTGACAAACACATCAAATTAAGGTTGAAGCAAAGAAACAAACCTTGTAACCACAGCCAGCAACACATGCGTGAAAACATTCCTGAATTTCAAAACAGAGTAACAGGTCAAACCAGTTTGATATGATGGTTCAGTCTATATTTCTTTATCGAATAAAAAAAGTTTACTTTAGGAAGAGTGAACATACCTCAGAGTATTTGGCATCTCCAGGGGAACGATCTATAACAGCAGTCCATGGTATGTCTTTTACCACAGGATCTTTGTAGCATATTTCACTGCAGTCTCCTACACCTATAGAGAGTACACTACTACTATTACACCAATTCATTAACTTGGAAACTTAAACCTGAAAGGAGAAGATACTTTCATGAACATATGTAATGTAAGAGACAACTTTGGTTTTGTGATGTTGCATAGTGAGGACAAATCTTACTGCTCTCCCACATTCATTATGGATTTCTGAGATAAAAAAGAAATGCTTACAATCTTCCCATGAGTCACTGTCAGCATCACATCCCTTTTTGCAGAATACTCTCCCTACACAGATTCAAGATTCATCATCAGTGCCTGACTGATGCTAAAGCGTAAAAGAGGAAACAGGTTGATAAGATCCTGAAAGAAACTACATGGAGGATAAATAATCTAAGCCTTTGTGACCAAAAACGCTTAATTTCATCAGAAACACCCAAATCAAAACATCCAACTCTATAGTTCACAGAAGCAACATTGATGCAAATTCATATTTAATACCGTCGTTACTTGAATCTTTCCCTTTAAATTTCTTTCTGTTCTTAACTATAAGTACTTATTGTCTTCCTTTTACTTCTATTAAATTGACCATGTTCATAGCACAACTCTAGGAACTCTGCATAATCCCCTCACTTACAATCGGCAGAGATGTTCCATATTCAATAAAAAGGAAGTGTTCTTAAATACTTGCAACTACAACTATGAGTCGTCTCTAGACCAAACTAACCAAAATAAGTGATTCTTTACCAATATGTTCAGTAAATTCGTATGAAATTAGAATGCGACAACAACTAATTAAGACTTGTGAATCAAGAAATCAATCAACAATTCAATTTACAGCTCCCAATTCAATTCCAAAGAAAAAAAGAAAGAAGAAGAAGAAACCCTTGGAAGACTAATGGAGTTTCGAATCAAGAAATCAATCAACAATCCTAATAAAAACCCAGTATACCAGCTCCAACAAGACATTCTTATCATCATCGCGAAACTAAATCATCAAAAACGAACGAACGAACCAAGAACATAAGAACTAACTGAAGCCAAGACGAATCTGATTCACACAAATTAAGAACCGAGAGATTACATACATGCAATCTGCGTAAAAGCTGAGTACTTTTGCGTGCATTTGCTCCCACACGGCGGCGTCCATTGCTGCGGTATCATCTCTCTCTCTCTCTTTCTCGGTCTCTTCCTCCGCCTTCACTCTCCGTCTCTCTTCTTCCGAAAATATCGCTGACGCCACAAAAATGTAGCTGGATTTTCCTTTATATATTAAGGGTATTTTAGTCATTTAACCATCCAAGAGCTCTAACAACCGAACCCGGTCCGTCTTTCTAATCCCATCAAATCAAACCGGTTATTGAATTTAACCGGTTATTTCCATGAATAAGCAAGCCGACTTCTCTCTCTCGAGCCTTTTATAAACTCCCAACGTCACAGCCGTCTCATTTTTTGCGTCTCTCTCTCTTTGTTCTTAGAGAGCTTGAGTAGTGTTTTCCCCTGCTCTTGATCTTCAGTAAGTGGGATAAAAATGGAGTATAACGAATACGAACCTGAACCTCAATATGTAGACGACGATGAAGATGAGGAGATTACTCAGGAGGACGCGTGGGCTGTTATATCTGCTTATTTCGAAGAGAAAGGTCTCGTTCGTCAACAGCTCGATTCATTTGATGAGTTTATCCAGAATACAATGCAAGAAATTGTTGATGAGTCTGCTGATATCGAGATCCGACCTGAATCTCAGCACAATCCTGGCCATCAGTCCGATTTTGCAGAGGTTGTTTCGCTGGTGTTTCCTTCGTTTCTTGTGTTTCTAGGGTTTCGAACGATAATTTGAAATTCTGTGTGGGTTTATCGTGTTTCTGGCTTTTGGAGTGTCTCGACTGTAGCTTGTAAAGTTTTGTTGCAATTAGGGTTTACTCCTTCTCGAGTAGCTGATCTAATTAGCGTCCTCAGATTATCTTTGTACTCAGTGGTTGAGCTATTTGGTTTTCAAGGTGGAAATTATGGTGGTTTTGAATATTGGTTGAAGCTCAAATCAGTTTTAGCATTACGAGAGTGTGGTATCTTTTTGGCTATATCTCTGGTGTGACTTTTGTAATTAGGATTTGCCTAGCTGATCTCATTGATGTCCCGAGGTTATCTTTGTAATAATGTTTGAGCTCTTCGCTTTTCCAAGGTGTATTTTCACTTGTTTTGGATATTGGTTGAAACTCAAAATCAGTTTTGGCATTAGGAGCTTGGTATCTCTTTCGTGCAGACAGTCTCCATTAGCTTGAACTGTTTTGTTGCAATTTGGGTTTTCCCTTCTTGAGTAGCTGATATCGTTGGTGTCCCGATATTATCTTTGTAGTCAATGATTTAGCTATTTGCTCTTCAAGGGGTTATATATAGTGGTTAATCAGTTTTGGCGCTAGGAAAATGTGTTTGATATATATTTTTCTGTACCTCTGGTATCACTATGTTCCTGTAGACAATTTATTTAAGCTTGAACAGTTTTGTAGCAATTAGGGTCTGCCCTTGTCTAGTAGCGAATCTCATTGATTTCCCGAGTTTGTTTGCATTCAATGCTTGAGCTCCTTGCTTTTTCAAGGTTTCCTTTCAGTGGTTTGAAATATCGTTTGAAGCTCAAAATCAGTTTTGGTGGGAACTGAGATATAGCTGTGTTTGATATCTATCTTTCTGTATGTCTGATATCTGTTTTCCTGCAGACAATCTACAAGATTAGCTTTGGACAGATTTATCTGAGTAAACCTATGATGACAGAGTCTGATGGAGAGACTGCTACCCTGTTTCCCAAGGCTGCGAGGTTGAGAAACCTCACATATTCTGCTCCTTTGTATGTTGATGTTACTAAGAGAGTTATAAAGAAAGGGCATGATGGTGAGGAAGTCACTGAGACACAGGATTTTACTAAAGTTTTCATTGGGAAGGTACGCTAACTTCGTCTTTGTGCCAAATTTAGTTAGCTGCATCCATCTACTGTAAGGTTCTGATAGTACACATATTTTTTGTCTTGTTTGATTTTTTGCTAGGTTCCCATCATGCTCCGGTCCAGTTATTGTACCTTGTTTCAAAACTCGGAGAAAGATCTGACAGAGCTTGGAGAATGTCCTTATGATCAGGGGGGATACTTCATTATTAATGGCAGTGAAAAGGTTCTGATTGCTCAGGAGAAGATGAGTACGAACCATGTTTATGTGTTCAAGAAGAGACAGCCAAATAAGTATGCTTATGTTGGTGAAGTCCGCTCTATGGCTGAGAACCAAAATAGGCCTCCAAGCACAATGTTTGTGCGTATGCTTGCTCGTGCTAGTGCAAAAGGGGTAAGAGAAAGCTATTAGTCTAACTCTACTATATCATTCCTCAACGTTTCTTCTATAAATTCTAAAAAATGGTAAATAAGTCATTTTGTATGTGGCTAAATGGATGCAGGGTTCATCTGGACAATATATTCGGTGTACTCTTCCATACATCAGAACAGAAATTCCTATTATCATAGTCTTTCGTGCGTTGGGATTTGTTGCCGATAAGGACATTTTGGAACACATCTGCTATGATTTTGCGGACACGCAAATGATGGAGTTACTCAGGCCTTCCTTGGAAGAAGCCTTCGTGATTCAAAATCAGCAGGTAGCCACCGTCCTTCACTTGGTTAATGAGATTTCTTATATGGCTGTTCTCATGTTGGATGCTTGAAGAATTTATCCTGCAATCAGTTAATTACTTTCATATTTGCTTCAGGTTGCACTTGACTATATTGGGAAACGTGGTGCAACTGTTGGTGTAACCAAGGAAAAAAGGATAAAGTATGTGATCATCTAAACCATTTAAGTTGTGCATATTGATCTAAGATGTCAACTTTTGAGATGTTCATATTGGAGGTTTGCAATTGCAATATTATCATTGCAGGTATGCGAAAGATATTCTTCAGAAAGAAATGCTTCCTCATGTAGGAGTTGGGGAACATTGTGAGACAAAGAAAGCATACTATTTTGGGTAGGTATTTAGTTCGCTAGTATTCTGTTAAATTTCCCCTGTCTATGTGTTGCTCATATTATGCTATAACCCTTAGGTATATTGTACATCGATTGCTGCTTTGTGCTCTTGGCCGAAGGCCAGAAGATGATAGGGATCATTATGGTAACAAAAGGCTGGATCTTGCCGGTCCTTTACTTGGAGGGCTGTTTCGAATGGTTTGTTACCGGCACACAATTATGTATACATCGTATTTCTTTAAGTATCAGTTTTCTTCTCTCTTACAGATCTAACATCTTCTTTACATGCAGCTTTTCCGAAAGCTAACAAGGGATGTGAGATCTTATGTTCAAAAGGTCTCTTTTATAGTCACTCTTTGTCGAAGACTTCAATTCTAACATGTTATTCTGTGTTTGGAAGTCTGATACATGTCATTTTGACAGTGTGTTGACAATGGCAAAGAAGTCAATCTTCAATTTGCCATTAAGGCTAAAACAATTACCTCTGGCCTGAAATATTCTCTTGCTACTGGGAACTGGGGCCAGGCAAACGCTGCTGGCACAAGAGCTGGAGTTTCTCAGGTTAGGATATTTCTATGTTTCTTCTGTTTTGGAGCTCAAATAATTTCTTGATTTATGTTATGAGGTTTACAGTTTTGTTCTATCATGGTTTCTTGCATGATCAATATGGCTCTAAAGTCTTAAGTGACAACAGGTTCTTAATCGGTTGACTTATGCTTCAACTTTGTCACATCTGAGGCGTCTCAATTCTCCAATAGGACGTGAAGGTAAAGCCTCATTCTTTTCCTGCACTTCTGTTGTCTCTGTGTCTATGCTCATGCAGTTGGCATGTTTTATCCATGGTTCTATTATCCACATCCTTGCAAATTGTATTGGCTTGCACTTTTTTTTTTCTCCACTTGAATCTCAATCGAGTCTGATATGCCAGGAAAATTGGCAAAACCAAGACAACTGCACAACTCACAGTGGGGAATGATGTGCCCTGCTGAAACACCTGAAGGACAGGTAAAATTGTCACTTTGCTAAAAATAAGGGTGTTTCTTATTCATCTAGTTCCATTGCTCATTGTGGCTTATGCTGTGCCAGGCTTGTGGTCTAGTGAAAAACTTGGCTCTCATGGTTTACATAACAGTTGGATCAGCTGCTTATCCTATATTGGAATTTTTGGAAGAATGGGGTACTGAGAATTTTGAGGTCTGTAGCATTTCACTGTCCATTTCTTACCCAATTTCTGCCTCTGCGATTCCTGTGGTTTCCTGAAGGTCTTAACTGGAATGTAGGAAATATCACCATCTGTTATACCCACTGCCACAAAAATCTTTGTGAATGGAATGTGGGTTGGAGTTCATAGAGATCCTGACATGTTGGTGAAAACATTGAGACGTTTGAGACGAAGGGTAAGCATTCATTTCTTTCACGTTTCCAAATATATCAGTAAATAAACCGTACCTTTTAGTATAAGTGACATATTACTTTTTCCTCTTGCAGGTTGATGTCAACACTGAAGTTGGTGTAGTTAGAGACATACGTCTGAAGGAGCTCCGGATATACACTGATTATGGCCGTTGTAGCCGTCCGTTGTTTATTGTGGATAATCAAAGGCTCTTAATAAAGAAGAGAGATATCTATGCTCTGCAACAAAGGGTAAAATTCTAATTTACTGTTGTCGAAGTATCTCTTGTTACAACTCCATTTGTACCAATATTTGTTTTCATAACCCAGGAAAGTGCAGAAGAAGATGGTTGGCATCATCTGGTTGCAAAGGGTTTTATAGAATACATAGACACTGAGGAAGAGGAGACGACCATGATTTCCATGACTATCAGTGTGAGTACTGGAATGAAGATGTGATTAAATGAGTTTGTTATGCACTAATTTCTGCAGTAATCTCACTCCTGAATTTATTGTAGGATCTGGTTCAAGCTAGACTCCGCCCAGAGGAGGCGTATACAGAAAACTACACACATTGTGAGATTCACCCATCTCTGATATTGGGGGTCTGTGCATCAATCATACCATTTCCTGACCATAATCAGGTATCTCTCTCTAAATGACTTTCTTATGAGAAGCGATTTATGTAAATTCAGTTACATGCTAACCAACACTTGTACTTTTCCTACTGTTTTACTTTTTGATTTATTAGTCACCTCGTAATACATATCAATCTGCTATGGGGAAGCAAGCAATGGGAATTTATGTCACCAACTACCAATTTCGCATGGTATGTTTTAGGCTCTTAATTTGTGGTCTTTACTGTCATCTTTTTTTTACATCACTACATGCTCTAATGATAATAAAATAATTGGTCTGTTAACCAGGATACCTTGGCGTATGTTCTCTATTACCCTCAAAAGCCTCTGGTTACCACAAGAGCTATGGAGCATCTTCACTTTAGGCAACTTCCGGCAGGAATTGTGAGTATTTTTTGCTAGAAGTCTTTCAGAATTCAGCTTTACTTGTCTATCAAACATCTCAAATGTTGTTTTTCTATCCTTGTGTAGAATGCTATTGTTGCCATTTCTTGCTATTCTGGATATAATCAAGAAGATTCTGTCATCATGAATCAATCTTCTATAGATCGTGGTTTCTTTCGATCCTTGTTCTTTCGGTCTTACAGGTGAGTATTTCATACTTGTGGACATTTGCTTTCGGTCATTCCGTTTATTTATACTGCAATTTGGCTGCTGGCAGAGATGAGGAGAAAAAAATGGGGACGCTTGTCAAAGAAGACTTTGGGCGCCCAGACAGAGCAAGTACAATGGTAAGAATTTATCACATACGGTTCATACTTTGTGGTGCTTTTTGTAAGTAGAGTTTAACATTGGGTGTTTCTGCTGCAGGGTATGCGACATGGTTCTTATGATAAACTGGATGATGATGGTCTTGCACCACCTGTAAGTATTCTTGTTTATTGTTCCCGTAATGGTTTTATCTGATATGATTAGACAGTTAATATTACAAACTATATTATGCAATTTTTTCTTTTCTGGTACAGGGTACTAGAGTTACAGGTGAAGATGTAATCATTGGGAAAACCACTCCAATATCTCAAGATGAGGCTGAAGGACAATCATCACGATACACTAGACGTGATCATAGTATAAGCTTGCGACATAGTGAAACTGGAATGGTGGATCAGGTAATTTTGGTATTTCCTTGCAGTTAAGACTATAATAAGTTTCAGGATTGAACTATGAAGCTGATGAAAATGCTTAATGTAAATCTGGGATTCTGATATTTCTTATTTTGTAACTTCTGAACTTCCTGTAGGTGTTATTGACTACAAATGCGGATGGTTTGAGGTTTGTGAAAGTGAGGGTCAGATCCGTTCGGATTCCTCAAATTGGAGACAAATTTAGTAGTAGACACGGTCAGAAGGGAACTGTAGGCATGACATACACGCAGGAGGACATGCCTTGGACGGTTGAAGGCGTCACTCCAGATATTATTGTGAATCCGCATGCTATTCCCTCTCGAATGACAATTGGACAGCTAATTGAGTGCATTATGGGAAAAGTGGCAGCTCACATGGGTAAAGAAGGAGATGCGACTCCTTTTACAGATGTCACGGTAACTTGCGTTTTCCTTAGCTGCTTAGTTAGCATTGGCTTAGTATAAGCTTGACCAAATGTCGTGTCTTTAGGTGGATAATATAAGCAAAGCTCTTCATAAGTGTGGGTACCAAATGCGTGGATTTGAGAGAATGTACAATGGCCACACAGGCAGACCACTCACAGCTATGATATTCCTTGGACCAACGTATTACCAAAGATTGAAGCATATGGTTGATGACAAGATTCACTCACGTGGGCGAGGTCCTGTGCAAATCTTAACAAGACAACCAGCTGAAGGGCGATCCCGTGATGGTGGTCTCCGTTTTGGAGAAATGGAACGTGATTGCATGATTGCACATGGTGCTGCTCACTTTTTAAAAGAGAGGCTGTTTGATCAGAGCGATGCGTATAGGGTACATGTTTGTGAAGTCTGTGGGCTCATCGCCATTGCTAATCTTAAGAAGAATTCATTTGAATGCAGAGGTTGCAAGAATAAAACAGATATTGTTCAGGTAAGTTTCCAAAACATCAAACTGTTGTCTAAGTGGACTCTTTCATGCTCGTTCACTGGTCTGATGGCATTTCATCTTAAATTCTCTCAGGTTTACATTCCATATGCATGCAAATTGCTCTTTCAAGAGCTTATGTCAATGGCAATTGCGCCACGGATGCTTACTAAACATCTCAAATCTGCTAAAGGCAGACAGTGAGGAGCTAAACATCTCTGATTTTGAACTTTCGGTTTCTCTTTTGGTCGTAGCTTTGTAACAAAATCGGTTTCCAAATTTGTGTACCAGAACTAAATTTACAAATGTGTAATGTCATCCCTTATTTCTTCTGAAGTTAAGAATATATGAAAACGGTGTACCAGAACCGGCTCCCCCAACTATGCGATGATTTTAGTAATTATTCTCATGTGGCACAATAGGGTGGAGCAAAAGATTACACTTCATAAACTAGGTTCGGACCCGCGCTATAATTACATATATATAACTTTTATCGGATTAGAATATGTTACATTTTAATTTTGTTAGAGTACAGTAAATATATGATTACGGTAAATCATATATTTGTATAATAAGTTTAAATAAAATAAAAAAAGGAAAAAACGAGTAAATAATCATATACTGAGTTTTGATACAACTAAAAACACGGTGAAAATTTAATAGCACGAAATAATATTTGTCGATAAATTATTCATTTTGACCATTTTTGTAGTAAAAGTAGGAATATACGTAAAAATTACATATTTACAATATATTTTTTGAAAGTCCAACCCGTAACAGAATTCATTTCCTAAAAAACATTATTTGTAACTCGTTTTATCATTATAATTGTGATTTTAACAAACTACCCGTGAATTATCTAAAATTTACATAGTTTGATATATAATATATATTATCAATAAAAATTATGTCTCCAAAATTACATTTATGTCTTCAAAAAAATATTTCGATATTTTAAATTCTAATAGTTTTATATATTTGAACCTTTTATTTATAATATTTTGAAACTATTTTAAATTTTAAATATGTTCATGTAACAATGGTTTTAATATTGGTCATACTTATAATGATTTTAAACCGTTGTCCAAAATATTTAACCGAGTGTAGTTGAATATTATATGTCCGTTTTGAAAAATCCAAATTGCAACATATGCAAAAAAAAAAGTTAAATTTTTATTAAATATTTATATTATATAGTATAATATCATAAATTAAAAATAATATCAAATAAAAGTGAAAGAAAAATAATATTTTTTAAATAGATTGTATTAAATTAGTTAGAGAAATATTAGTAAATCTTATAATTAGTTATGGAAATAATACAATCCTAAAATTAGATTTGGAAAGTATCCGGTGTATGTATCCAAACCCATTAATCTATCCAATTTTAAAAGATCCAATTACAAATTTCGGGTAATTTTTTGAAATTGACCCGACCCGGAAACACTTTTTGTACTTCTCTTTTACTAATATAGGGATTTGGTGGTGATTCTGAGCAAGAAGGTTAGTGAATAATAACTTACTTAGCTCTGCAGGTTAGACCTGCATTGCACTTGCAAGCTACCAGAAAATTCTATAACTATTTTGAAGTTCTTACCAACCAAACTCGACTTTAAAGAAACGAAAAAGAAGAGCTCTCTGCTCAGTGTCACTCTGGCCTAAACCACAATGGCTTCAACAATTAAGAATGCTATTTCCTTTGATTTTTGAAAAACGATTCAACAGGTTTCAATTGAATCGTTTATCAAAGGTTTAGGCTTAATTTGCAATTGTCTGATAACCCTTCAAAGAACATTAAAAACACGTAGCTGCTTAGAATCGAACTCGAGACCTACACTTTTATTTTCATTTTCAAAATATTGAGCAGAGTGAGTTTCATCTTCTTCCTCGCCGGAATCAATGAATATACTGAGGCGATTCTCGGCGAATTTGATTGCGAGCAGATATTACTACACTAACAGAGTTAAAAAGACGACACTTTACTCCAAAATCAGTCCTTTAGGAGACCCTAAATCAAGTGTCTACCCAGAACTCCAAAACTGGGTTCAAGGTGGTAAAAAGGTCTCTGTTGCTGAGCTTATCCGCATCGTTCATGATCTTCGTAGACGCAAACGCTTCCTCCACGCTCTCGAGGTAAGTGATTTTATAGAAACCAAGTTTCTTTCTCTCTTTACCTGCCGAGAAAAATTTGAACTTTAGGGATTTTGATTTGGTAGGTCTCGAAATGGATGAACGAGACTGGTGTATGTGTGTTCTCTCCAACAGAGCACGCTGTTCATCTTGATCTCGTTGGTAGAGTTCATGGATTCGTTTCCGCAGAAGAGTATTTCGAGAACCTCAAGGAACAGTACAAGAATGATAAGACTTATGGAGCGCTTTTGAATTGTTATGTCAGGCAGCAGAACGTTGAGAAGGCTCTGTTGCATTTTCAGAAGATGAAGGAGATGGGTTTCGCATATTCGTCTCTTACTTACAACAACATTATGTGTCTTTACACGAATATGGGTCAGCACGAGAAAGTTCCCGGGGTTTTGGATGAGATGAAGGAAGACAATGTTGCTCCGGATAATTATAGTTTCAGGATCTGTATTAATGCTTTTGGTGCTATGTCTGATCTTGAGAGGATTGGTATGATCTTGCGAGATATGGAGAGACAGCCGGATATTACCATGGACTGGAACACTTATGCTGTTGCTGCAAAGTTCTACATAGATGGTGGTGATCGTGATAAAGCGGTTGAGCTTCTGAAAATGTCTGAACATAGATTGGAGAAGAAAGATGGGGAAGGTTATAATCATCTCATTACGCTCTATGCTAGGTTAGGGAACAAGACAGAGTTATTAAGGTTATGGAGTTTGGAGAAAGAAGCTTGTAAAAGAAGAATAAATCAGGACTATCTAACTGTGTTGCAGTCGCTAGTGAAGATTGATGCTCTCAAAGAAGCTGAGGAAGTACTAACGGAATGGGAATCATCCGGAAACTGTTACGATTTCCGAGTCCCTAACACTGTGATTCGTGGGTATACTGGGAAAAGTATGGAGGAAAAGGCAGAAGCAATGCTTGAGGATCTAGCAAGGAGAGGGAAATCTACTACACCTGATTCTTGGGGCCTTGTGGCTACTGCTTATGCGGAAAAGGGTGTTTTAGATAATGCTTTCAAGTGTCTGAAAACTGCCTTGGGTATAGAAGTGGGCAACAGGAAATGGAGACCAGGGTTGAAGCTGGTCTCTAGTGTTTTGAGATGGCTGGGGGATGAAGGAAGCTCAAAAGAAGTAGAAAGCTTTGTTCCATCTCTTAAGAGTTGTATCGGTGTGAACAGACAAATGTATCATGCTCATATCAAGGCTGATATAAGAGAAGGTGGAAGTAACATTGATACTCTGTTGCAGCGCATGGGAGACGACAAAGTTGAAAGGGATGAAGAAACCACAGTGATTCTCAGCAGTAGAAGTCCATGCTGAAAGTTGAGTCTAGCTACAACAATAATATTTGATACCACAAGCACCTGATTCATATCTCTAGACTCTGATTTCAGAACATCTGTAGAATCATATGTACAAGATAGTCCTCTGTTCTTTTTCAGATGCAGTGTACTTTCATATTGAATTAGTAGGACACAAAGTTGGAGCTTTGGCAATTTGGTTCCATTTTTATTGAAGTTTCTATTCACTCTGTAACAATTAGTCGATTTTTATTTTATTTCTGTCGACTAACTATTTTCCATCGATTTATTCACTCTGTAACAATTAGTCGATTTATTTTCCATCGAAATAAAACTAGAATCAGTAGGACGCAAATTATGCTATTTTATCAATCCTCTGTTCTATTTCAAATGCAGTGTACTATCATTTTGAATCAGTAGGACGCAAAGGTGAAGCTTTCGCAAGTTTCTATTCACTCTGTAACAATTTGGTTTTCCCAAAAAAAAATAATGTAGAGATTACAGCCAAAAAAGGTTAAAAAGAAAATACACTTGTTGTATATATATGACAGCAAAAACTTTGTCTATGTATATATTGTCAAGAATCATTGGTATTGTGTTGCTCACCAGCTTCTTGTAGCTCTAAAACTTTCTCATATCCCACATTTTCTCTGAATCTCTTTGGAATGAAACAACGACCACCAAATCTCTGCTGTAAGAAAATCAGAAAAGCGAATAGGAAACCGATACAGAGGATAATGATATCCCATGCCGTAGAGTAATAATCCATTTTGTGATTTGCATAAATGAATGACCAATCAAGAATCTTCCCATAGCTGCGGCTTCTGTACAGATCATAAGCGTGAGGAAGCAATCGAACGAAGCTGTTTCCACCATAGAACGAAGCAGCAAGAGGCTTTAAGTCTGAGTTGCTGAATCCGTTGAAGAGTATCTGAGGAAGGAGGAATGCATCTAGCATCAAACCTCCATAAGATTTCAGATCTTTCCACAAAGGAGGACGTTGAAAAGAGCGTTTCAGGTTCACCGGACGGTACAAAAGATTCCGTGCATGCGGTTTTCCAAAGTATACTATTCTTTTAGGAGTTCTGTTATGGTTTACTAACCAAGCAATCAATCCACCAGTGATGTAAAGAGGTAAACACACATAAGAAACCTTCTTTTCTGCATTCCACACACCTTGATGGTGATGATAATCTTCAGTATTTCTAGCAGTCCAAGCTAGTTGGAGAAGACGGCACTCTAGTAAGAAAGCTATCAGTGTCACTATCCGCACCACAATTTCCTTGGCTTCAAGCCATCTGTCGTTCTCGAAAAACAAACTTTGCTGGTTATGGCGGCTTTTAAAGAGTTCTTCAAAGTTTAACAACAAAGGAATCATGTGACCTAATGTAAGAAGTATCAGCATTGTGATGGAGATGAATGGAAGTGCTTCTTGGTGTTTCTTCATATGGTAGAGTTGCATCCCCACGAAGAAACATGAAAGTGTATTGGATACTAAAACCATTGCAACCTCCAAATCCATTCTCCAAACAGATTCTTTGGCTTGATGAACATAAATCGACCTCGACAAAACCTCCATACGTCCAACATAAAACGGATCTGTCTTTTCCCGTGTGCTTTCGATGGTTCCTTTTAAACGGTCATCGCTTTTTGAATCAATACGAGAAAACTTTATATTGATTGCAAGATTGCAATCCACAGTCTCGTTTTGCATCACCACCGTGCTATTTAGCCTAACTGATTGACATCCTACCATACATAGTTCACCTGTATTTCTATCATATGTTCCCTCAGCATAGATATCTCCACGGGATTCAGAAAACGGGTTCAAAAAATGGATCTTATATGTTATATTTGTGAAGCTGTTGGTGACACTGTTGACATTCATAGGGGTTCCAGTCAGCCCAACCCCTTGCCCACGAACCAAAAGATCGCGATACAATCGATCTCCCACAAAGAAAGGGCTTGCACGAGCAGATCTTAACACATTGTCTCCTCCAGAAAATTTCACTGACATAACAAATCTCATGTCTGAAGTTTGAGCATCAGGGTAATGGTTTGCTTTGCTTTTGTGGTGACTCTTGCCAGCCTCGCATAACTTACCCAATCTCTCTTTTTCTGTATACTCATATCTCAGACTAGGGAAACGCCACAGTGGATCATTTAGGCTCGATAGCTTGATTCTTCTGAAGTAGCTTGGATCATTCTCCGTTTTGGCACTCCAAAGCTGGCCAACTACTGGAGCCATGCTTTTAATCGACAAGATAGCAGGAAATCTTAAACTTAACCTCAGGGAACAGTCACCAACCACAGCATTACTCAAAGAACCCGAGAAATTCAAGATCCTGCACGCAACACCGCAGAACCTATTCTTCTCTACATCCCAAGTTCCCTCTGCAACCAAAGTGGTGCTCGGATCAAACGGAAACAACCTGATAAAACTACTAAAGTTACTAAATGACAGTACCATCCGCATCCTCTCCCCATCACAAAGAAACGACAATAGTGACATAGAAGCCGGTGTGTACTCTACATCACTTCCTAAAGGACCGCAACTATGGTTAATCCCACAATCATTTCTGTACATCAGACCAAACACATGAACTCTACCTTTAAAAACCTTACACATTCCTCCCAAAACATTCTCTAACGACAAACTCACTTCACTGTTAATCCCGCAATCCGATTTCGCTTGCTCTAACAACTTATACTCATAGTTCAAAGGAGTGTTTCTCGCACCAAGAATCGAAATAGTTTCAAAACTACTTTGGCTATTCACGCTCTCTAACAGTCCCTTAACCAAACTTCCATAGATATTAGAGTCCTTTGAATAGTTAAGCATAAGACGAGCATCAAAGGTCTTCAAATCAGTACCTTCCCCAGGCAAAACTTGCGCCGATCCAACCATACAGACTTGTCCTGTAGACTCCGACCAAAACCCATAAAAATCGAAACTTGGTCCTCCCCGAAAGCTCACCGGGATCCTGCGTCCGTCGATCTGCGTTACCTGAATCTTCCGTTGCCCAAAATCGCCGCCGTAATAAAAAGAAGAAGCTGAGGTTTTTGAGATTTCTAAAGTCAATTTGGCTTCAACCTTGTAAATTCCCCCATCGCCCAAAGTTTTGCGTATTGATCTGGGTCTAAACCTAGCAGATTTAATATCACCGTTCTGTGATTGATACCTCTTGAAGAAAGAGTCGCCGCCGGAGAAGAAGCTGACATCGAAACCGAGCGACGCACGGCTGAACACGGCGGAGGGAGAAGGGTCGGTCGTAGACTCTGCAACTATGTGGTTGCAGTGATCCGAGTACGAGATTCCTGGGGCTGTGAAGGAGTGAGGATTCACTAAGGATGATTCAACGGTGAGTGAACAAGTTGCAGAGGTCAGAAAGAGGAGGAGGAAGACGAAGAAGAGGGAAGAGCATGATTGTAAATAAAGGAAACTAGAAGAGTAGTTTGAAGATGAAGAGGGCGGCCAAAAAGTCGCCATTGTTACGGAGGAAGTGAGGAACTTTTTACATTTGCGCAAACTCTGTTTCGCGATCTCAAGATCCGATTCAACTTCAAATATCAAAGCTATTGACTTTTTTTCATTTTGTTGTTTTGGTCAAATGATTATTAATAAAAGTTTAATGAATAAAAATATAAAATTATAGAAATACAATTTATGCGGAAACAAGAAATACAATTAAAAATTAAAAATACGATTGTTTAGCTAAAATAGAAGTTTAATTAGTTAAATTATAAAGTCAGCAACGGAACAAAGTCAAGGTTTTGTTAAAGTGTGTTGCTTTGGCTGCAAGGTACTCTTCCCATACCAAACGCCGGTAAATAGGAGGATGGTTCTTGTCGCCGATCAACGGCCCGATCTGAAGGTTTTTGGGTGGTCCGGCGAAATAAGCGGCTGAGACACGGTGGTGAGTCTTGTTCACCACCGCACGGTGCATCGTAGTTCTGAACAGTCCATTGGATATGATATGCGATAAATCTCCCATTATAATAACGAGACTACCTTCTATTGGCTCTACTCCTATCCATCTCGGTCCTTCTTCTTGTGGACTTTGAATCTCTAGACCTGACCAATGCAACCATCATTTATATATGTTACATATAGTGCTTTTATTTAAATGTTCGTATCCAATGCACTAAAAAAGTTGGTTTCATTTGTAAGTATTATTGAAATTGTAATTTTTTTTTTTTTTGCTTACCCTTATTTGCACATGAACAGGCAACTAATTTAGTACTAATTCTAGATCTAGATTTACTTAATTTTCGTTCGTAAACTTATTCTTACGGACTGGGCAACCACATTAAAATATGAATGTGTGGTTGTTAGAAAAAGCAAAACTAACAATAAGGTTTGATCAGGCTGAAATAAAGACGGAAGAAAATGGTGAATATATAGTCCTAATTAATCTCTAACCTGGAATATTGCCTTGGTAGAGAATGGTGAGTAGGGAGGAGTCGGTGTGAGGTGCTAAGCCCATGGCTAGATGAGGGTCAGGGCAAACCGGGTAAGAGTTCAACTGTAGAAAGGATTGGATCGAGTTGGTTTCAGAACCAGTTTTGTCTGGTACAAGCCATCCCAAATCTTCATGTGTTATCCCTAACGAGCCCATCAACATAGTTATAAGTCTAAGACTTAGATCATCCATTGCCTTCTGGTACTCTTCCATCACATTGCTACATTTGCCAAACAAAGAATAAACAATTTGTTCAGAAATTTTGATATAATTTTTTTTGTATATATCTATTTTCCATGTAGAACACATTAAATAGTCCAATGAAGTTCAAGTGTTACAAAAAAAAAAGAGAGAGAATTACTTATCACGTTGTACATATTAACTTATATTCATATTATATAGAATACAGTTAGATTTGGGTAAGACATCGTTCAAATTAAATCATAAATATATAGTTTTTGTCTTCATTTACACATTTTCACATATTCTCTAGGTCATGCGCATTTTTTGATTAGGAAAATATGATAAATATTATGATTACTACTCACCAGAAGTCAGCATGATCATCGGGCCATAAGAGTGTAGCGTGACGCCGAAGAGAGGAACCCAATACGGAGAACCCCTCAGACCACATGAGCTTATCATAGAACATGGAGATCCGAACAACACCGTAACCAGTGGACTCGTCGGGAGATCGGACGGCTAGGATCTTACGATGCATGGGCAGAGAGAAGAGCCTCTTCATTTGGCACTCGACGTTGTGAAGTAAATAGCCTGGGACACCATGGTCTGTGATATGAAACACACCCCATTCCTCACACGCCTGTCTTAGTAACACATGCTGATCCGGGTCGGACAAGTTGATGACGGGGATGGGTAGGTTCACGGGTTTGGGTTTGGTCTCAGGCTCGGTTTTGGACCAGACGTGAGAGTCGGGTAAGGTTTTGGTGCTGGTGAAGTCTAGAGGGATGATGCGGTCACGGTTCACGGGGTTGTTCTTGAATGACTCTGTCACGGAGCTCATGATTGTATTTTATAGGATTTAGTTTTGTTTTCTTTCTTTCTTTTGAGGCATTTGATGGAGAGGAACATTGTAACCTTTAGCACTATATATAGAGAGAGCTCGATCAAAAAGGTCTGAGTATACATACACACGTGTGGGTTTATGTGGAGAAAAGCTGTTATTTTGATTTTTGACTCTTTTTTCTTAAATCTGAAAAAATAAATAGACATATTTGTCTTCTGGGGAAAGTACATAAATACATATATATAACCAGGCAACACATTTATGGATCGTGTAGATTGTAGAGTATTTATAGAAATAATAGATGTTAAAGGGGATGTATTCAATCCTCATATTTCAAATTGTTTTGAGTAATTTTAATATGATTTTGATGGTTTTCAGGTAGTGACTATGATTTATTAAAAGTTCCTCTTAAATTCTACTTAAACCATGAGATTTTAAATGTATATATTTTTAATTAATAAAATCATGAAAAGTTCGATCCTCTCATTATAATGTTTTTAATAGCAATAGATTTTAAAGTAACTTTTCAAATCTTTAGTTTTCAAGTTTTTGGATTCCTTTAGACTTTTTCAAATACATGCATGATGAATAAACACAAATCACTTAAAATGTTTGATTGAATACACCAATTTCTTTTCAGAAAACAAAAATCTAATTATTTGGTTTATTACTCTTACAAATGGTGATTATTATATTACAAAACAGAATTAGTAAACCAATATATTAATTACATATGCACACATTATTAAAGTCATTGATCGACGAAGCATAGAAGCCATGAGGTATTAGATACCATACCATCAACACAAAAGGCAGAGAATGCATTTTAATTACATCCCGAATTATATGGCTTACTCATATCGGCAGCAACTATAGAGCTAATAACAAATTAAATTAAATGGCGTGATATGTATGGAATTGAGAGTATCTTGTAAATTGTCGCAAAACCAATCATTTGACGGTTTCAAGATAGATTTACTTCAAAAAGGCTTACATACAAATTCTAAAACAGTCGTAATAGTGGCAATATTTTTGGGTATCACAATTTCATAATAATTATAAGACATTTATTGCATAAGCTATGTTCGCATTGTTTAGCTCCTTCGGTGTTTCATGCATGCGACGTTGACTTTTGTAGTGTAGCGGCCATATATATGAAAGAGTATATGTGTGTATGTATTGAGAAAATAGGGTTCGTAATAATGAATGATACAAGAGAAGAGAGTAGCATTAAAAGTTGTTCTCTCCATGAGTCTTGTCTAAACAGCTCAGGTGCTTTCGTTTACGATTCAACCATACACAACTCTAACATACACGTGTGCCTCACTTTTGTCCTTTTTCCCTCTCTTTAATTCTCTTTTTTGTCGTCTTTTTTCCCCAACTAGCTATTTCCATCTTTGTTGTGTCATGCATGTAACATTTCCATCTTTGTGACAGCTTTTATCTAGCCGAGAGCAAATAACAATTAGACAGCTCTATCAACAGATTGTTATAGTATGTAGTAATATGTTGGAAAAAAGCGGGTTTAGGCGTGTAAGAAGCTAGACATGAGTGCTGCTGTGTTTTAATTGTCAGAGGTGGCTTTTCGAAGTGAAAACTCAGCTAACTAGTTGTCGTCGAAACGGGATTCGATGGTCTAGGCTCTCTAGTCTCTAGCTAGCCATCTTGTTTAATTAATTACTTTTATTGTTAAGTTTAGCTAAAAGCAGAAGATACTTTGTTTTATCCAATGGCTTTTGCGAGTGGTTTGTTTCTCAAAACGACGTTGAAACTTAATGTACTGTCTGTAAAGTTAAGCCCGGTCTCAATCTGAAGAAAGACGACTGATAGGTGAGATAGCAAGAAGATAAAACAAAAACTTGGTTCATTTTATTAAATTTCCATTTGACGTACAATATGTGGAAAACTACATACAATGATTTATGAATAACATAAACAATGCATATCCTTTTGTCGGCGATCTTGACATTTCTTTAGTGGGCTTGTTGTGAATGGGCTTATAATCAAAATATTTTAGGTATTTGATATCTCGGAGTCCGTCTTTAGATGGCTTTAACTAAATCATTATGAGGCAACAAAAATAACTTGGAGAAGGGCCGATAAATAATAGAAGATGAAGAAAAAGAAAGAGAGATGATCATAGGCTCAATCTGATGTGTGGATGAATTTAGGAACAGTGATTTATGAGAAAACTTGACCATGAGCCCAAGTTAGAAAATATGCAAGTTTAGTGTCGGTACGTAGTCCTAGTATTAGTCATAGAAAGTTCGAGCAACATTTTGATCATTCTATCTCCATTTCCGTCTAAATAATATGTCAAAATTCTATTTGCCGATTCTGATCGTACATGAGCTATAATCTAAAACGCTTAATATTTGTTTAACCAAGATATTTACTTACATAGTTCATAGTCATATATATTTTAGTTGTGTTGGATTCCAATTCAATACCATTTATTTATTAAAACAATAAATTATCTCTATCCATGTGCGCATGATGACAAGGTAATACTGTACTTGTTTATATGTTAAAAGTATTTATTTCTTATCCAAAACGTATTACGTATCACCACATTTTACCACACACAAAATATATAAATTAACATTATTATATATATACATGAGACTCAATAACTATCTTCAATAGTAAGATAGCAAGTTTGATTCAAATTGTGAATTAATCGGCTATGAGATTTCTTTCGTACTGTCTTCCTATTTAATCTGGTGTAACAATTAAATTAAATTTACTTCGAACGTCTTATTTGCACTTAAAATTTGTGTATTACTTGTGCTTGAATAGTTGAATCTACTTTTTTTCCCCCGAACGTTACATTACATGTACGTTTATAAAACAAATAAACAATTCCGACTTAACATAAAAATAGCAACTTGCATAACGCCGAGGCAAAGTTTTGATAAGATGTTTGATTCGTGTAGGGATACTTCATTGTGCTTATAATAATATTGACTTACATATATAGACATTTTTTTTGTCGTCTCTCTATTTAGAAAGTTATCAGATATATAAGCCATCGAGTCTCTCCCTCGATGATATATATATATACGTAAGTCTAATAAATAAATTCATTCACCCAACCAATGTTACACTGAAGTCAATAATCTAACCTCAGCCATTTTTTTGTCATTTTATTTCTTTCTTCTTCTTATCCTTTTTCTTCTTGTCAACTCTTCTTCTTATCCTTTATGACTTCAGAAACTACAGATCAAATGAAGAAAACATGTTCAGCGGTGTATTCTTGTGTTTAAAGAATGAGCAAGTGAATGTATTTTTATATTACGTGGATCAAAATGTATGAGGTGGAAGATTATAAGCTCTCATGTTGATGATAAGCACAAGGACGTCGATTTCTTTTTATACAGTAGTCAGTAGATCATTTGATCCTTTTGTATTCTCCATTCCAGCTAATCTCCAAGTTGTTCAAAGTTAACAAATGTTATCTTTTTTTTTTATATATATATATAAAAGATTAATATGTCAACAACATGGTATATTTTCATATTCAAAACTAAAGAATTTGTAGCTTTTACACAAAGCTTACGAAATAACTTTATTAGTAGTATGTCCTTGTATTATTTCCATGTATCAAAAAGTTTAAGATTATTTCCTTTTTCCTTTTTTTTTTTTGATAAACAAAACTATATTATTTTTCCTATATTTACTCTATGGATGCTTTTGTTATTAGTTCTGCTTGTAATTTTGGGCTCACGATTCTATATATGTATAAACATTAACTCACCGAATCAAAAACAAAAAATAATCAAGACTTCATTATGAGGTCAACGTCATGCCAAAATTTTCATTTATTTCTTCTTCTTCTTATCTTTGAAATCTATAAAAAATAATAATTATCTACTGACTTGAGAAACTACAAAAAGATAATATATGTATGTGTGTGCATACGTACGTGCAGTGTGTTTGTTTAAATATAGAACAAGTAGTACTTTCTTAATTTGTAGCTCGAATTAGTATTTGATAACCACAACAACTCGTTCTTTTGTTTGATATATAAGCTTTCACATATATCATGCATCATTAGATTTTTATACTCATACAGTCTAGTCTCCAGGTTGTTGGGAAGAAAGACTTTTCTTATTTGATCAATTTTAATTTTTTTCCACAAAATAGAGCAACCTCAAAATTTATTTTACTTCGATATTATGTAGGCACTTTAACCGTTATAGATATTTACGTTACAATTATATGTTGTTGTGCTCGTTTAGATGTATATTTATGCGTTTTGTAAGTCGTCTTCATATCTGATTAATTATTATTAGCCCTTTAACAATATATAGTTACATTACAAGTTCTTCACAAACATGTGGTCTTATTCAAATAAATATCATAAATATACCTCAAGTTTTGATATATATATATATATGTGTCTACCTAATATCCCAAGGATATTCTAAGTAGATGAACTTCTGATGAACTCACTGGCGATGTCACTATAGTGTGATATTTAACTACAAAAATATTCAAATAATGTGGAAATTAACTATTGATTCAATTAAGAAAATTAAATTAAATTAATAAATGATAAGCAACTTGATTAGTTTGCTTGACAGCATTAAGCAAATTGGGATTTATATAATGATAAAGTTGATAAGCGAATAGATAATTGATAGCGCTTATAATATATTGACCCTAAGAGCTTTGTCTTAATCCCGTGGTTTAATAACTAATCACACATCAATGACTTATTTTAAAAGAGCTGTTAGGCGAGACGCCAAATAGCATATGCAAGCAAATTAATAAGTTTTTGAGTTGTGTGGAATCAAAGTCAAAGCTGTGCACTCTTTTGTCTTTCGTCAGTTTTTTTGTTCTTATCGTTCTCGCAGTTTCCACGTAGTAGCCGATCACTAAGTACCAAAAGATTTCTTCTTTTTTTAAAGATCGACCAAAATCGGAGTTGGTAACAAATATATATAAATGACGCCAGGACAAAACTATATAATATACATTTACATGTGGACTAAACTCTGTACCAGTGATATTTATTCTGAACTATACATTAGTAGCATAGCTTATCATATACTAGTTTAAATTAATACTGATATGAAGCTCTCTAAGAATAATTATGAAATTAAAAGGCCATGTTAACACAAAAGTTCTAAAAATTGGTCTAGTATTGACTTTACTTTTTAGCCACAGACTTTTATAGTCTATTTTTAAAAAATTTGGTTTTGTTTGGAACGTCGTTATCGTGGGAAGACATAAAGCTTCTTGGTTGGGTGAATTTGAAAAAACAAATATTCAACGTTAATTTTGGAGAACAGCTTGCGCGCAGACGACAACATCCTTCAAGTGGCAACTTGAACTCTCTCAATTTGCATATTGGCTGCTTACTTAATTATCATACCTTAAATTATATAATTTTTTTCCTCAAAAAAATGTCACTTGTTGTTACTTTGTTAGTCTTTTTCACGAAATTATAATTAATTATTTGTATATATTTTTGTCGTCGTATGTAGAAGTTGGTGGTATGGCATTTGTCTTATGGTCCACGTTAATTTCGTGAGAAACCTTTTAGCGTGTTTCTTTTGAGTTTTCTCTTTTATTTGTCTGCTCAAAAACAGGCGGAGATTAAAAACCAAAAATCATCATTACTAATTAATTACGTGTTCCTTAATATCGTGTTTTGTTTGTTTACAAGGCATCGTCGGATCTCCATGATCAATAACTTATTATTATTCTTGCTAATTAACTTTTAAGTAATAATCTGTTCTTCTACTTATGATACTATTATATAATATGATTTTCTATAGAAAATTTACTTAGTGGTGGTGTAGTAGGGAAAAAGTTTACGATTTGGATTGGTTGGATCCGTGTTGAAGTGTATAATGTATTCGTTTATATGTAAAAGGGTTAGCCGTAAATTATATATAAAAAGAAAATATCAGTCTAGTTACGCTTTCCGCATATAGTGTGTATTCACATTACATAGTACTATACGTGATCATTTACATTTCTTCGAATTAGTCTCTTTCTTTATATATTTAAAAATACGATTAACCAAGTAAATTAGATTACATCATCGATCGAGAATCTAAAGATCTCATGGAACGAAGTAATCATGCATGAGAGAGTAAAAAGACTTAGGGTTTTAATTAAAAAGTCTATTGAGAAGAGACGTTCATTAAGGTTGAATCCAAATTCTCTATGAATTAGGTTCCTATTATATAATAAGGTACTGGATTTGATTTATGCAACACACACACATATATATAAGAATTTTCGTATTGCTTGATAATTGTCGTGGGCAAATAGGATTTTACTCAACCGATATTAACACTTCAACTGCCATATTACGTGAAAACCTAAATCAACGTTTTTTGGTTTAAGTGTTTGCTTACCTAAATCAACGTATATATTTCTAAACAAACTACTCTACTAGTATTGTTTAACATTTAGTATTGAAACGTAAATTTGTTCCTAACGGTTAATTTAGTAAAGACGTATAAATATTGAATTTTAGGACGTCATTTTTGGTTATGTTTTTGTTCGGGTTATCTTTTTAAAGTCATTACAATGTAACAAATTTCGTCTGAAATGAAATAATTTAGACAAATGTATTAAGATAAATTAAGTCTAAATTTCTTTATATCCAAACGCTGAAAGTCGTAGTTTCAATGAATCTAGACATTCATCGTATAAGATGTAAAAGAAAAAAAAGAAAAATATATATATATATATATATATATATATATGGTTGTATAAAAGTTTTGATTACACCAAAATACCAAAACATGTTTGCTTGAGTTTATCCATCAAAATATGAAAATAAATATATAATTCAATGTTTGAAAATATAAACATATCGATCTATTGAATTAAATAAGAAAAAAAAGAATATAAAGGCTTATAATAGAAAATTTGGGACTAAAATTAAGTACATATACAATAGTTAAACTTTGGGATTAAAAAGGAAAGAACTTAATAGGAAGGTGAGAATAGTCGCAATCGAAGACAGCTTAGCTACAACACACACGAGCGTAGCGTGCTTGATTGAGACACCAAATCCTGTTTTAGTGGGCAACTCACTTTTTTACTTTTGCCCCTCTTCCTTTTTCTTTTTCTTTTTATTTTTATTTTCTAGTTTTGGTTTTGGTTTTTTACTCTTTTCTACTTATATATGATTTTTTTTTTTTGCAATCACGTTTTTTGATTTAATCAGTCTCTTCCAGCAGCCTTCCAGGTGTAACTGGTCACACATTAGCTTGGCTTGCCTTTAACCAGGTGTTTTTTCTTTCTTCATTGATTTTAGGGATTCTATTTTTAAAATATTTTCTGTATAAGTTTTAGTTTATACTATAACTTTACTATTTCTGTAAAAAAAATAGTGATTTTAAAATTAATTAATTTAGAAATTTAGTTTAAATTCCTATTATATTTCTGAACAATATTTTTTTTCATTAACCGGTTATTGTTGAATTATAATTTGCATAATTATTTTAAAACAATTATTCATAATTATCATTCAGATTTATCACTTATCAATTGCTTATATAAATAATTTAAAATTACCATAATTAGTTTCAAAGTCTGTTGAGAAAATCCACCGAATGTATATATTATAGCAGCCGTTTTAAAAAAAAATTCTAATTAGAAAAGAATTAAAATTAAAAACCTGAGAAAGAAAGAGACGTCAAAGAAAGGTTCTCTTCTGAGTCTCTCTGACTCGCACACAACTTCTGAGCTCTATAAATATAAACTCTCTTCTTCACACTTTTATCACACACACACACAACTCCTCCTTCTAAAATCTCAAAAATATAAATATCTTCTTCTTCTCGATTCTTGTGTTCCGTTTTTGCTTTGGCTCCTCGTTGATTCAATAGGTCACTCCTTTTCTCCTCCAATCACCGGTTTACTCTTTTAACCGGACGGACTCTGCTGCATATCATAAAAATCTTTGAGGATCAAGAAGATATAAGCAAAATCTTTTTGAATTTATCTCTCTCTACACGAAATCTAAATCCATGGATCAAAAAGTTAGACAATTTGAGGTTTGCACTCAAGACGGAAGCGTTGATCGTCACGGCAATCCAGCTATCCGAGCTAATACTGGCAAATGGCTCACTGCTATTCTCATTCTAGGTACATCATCTTTACAGCAACTCTTCTTATTCTTTATAAAAGTGTTTGTGTTTTAGACGCTAAAGATTTGTTCTTTATTCCGATTCATTTAGTGAATCAAGGGCTTGCGACGCTTGCCTTCTTCGGTGTCGGAGTCAATTTGGTTCTGTTTCTGACGAGAGTGATGGGACAAGACAATGCGGAAGCTGCCAATAATGTTAGTAAATGGACAGGAACTGTTTATATCTTCTCTCTTCTCGGTGCTTTCCTCAGTGACTCTTATTGGGGACGTTACAAGACTTGTGCAATCTTTCAAGCAAGTTTCGTTGCAGTAAGTCTCTTCACCACTACTCTGTTCCTTGTTTCTTAGGGTTTTATTTCTTGAGTCATAAGTTAACAATGTTTTAATTGGTTTATAGGGATTGGTGATGTTATCTTTATCTACCGGTGCGTTGTTGCTTGAACCAAGTGGTTGTGGAGTTGAGGATTCGCCGTGTAAGCCTCACTCTACGGTCAAGACGGTTATATTTTATCTATCGGTGTATCTGATCGCGTTAGGGTACGGTGGTTATCAGCCCAACATAGCTACGTTTGGAGCTGACCAGTTTGATGCAGAGGATTCAGTTGAAGGATACGCCAAAGTTGCGTTTTTCAGTTACTTCTATTTAGCTCTGAATCTTGGTTCGCTCTTGTCGAATACCGTCTTGGGTTATTTTGAGGATCAAGGGGAATGGCCGCTAGGGTTTTGGGCGTCTGCAGGCTCTGCTTTTGCAGGTTTAGTACTTTTCTTGACTGGTACGCCAAAGTACAGACATTTTACGCCTAGAGAGAGTCCTTGGTCTAGATTCTGCCAAGTATTGGTTGCTGCAACAAGAAAGGCTAAGATTGGTGTAAACTATGAGGACTTAAATCTCTATGATTCTGAGACTCAACGAACTGGAGATAAGAAGATTCTTCATACCAAAGGCTTCAGGTAGATAACAGCTTAAGTATATTTTTGTTATAATCTCCGAAACCATCATCAAGATCAGCTTTTAACTCTCTCTCTCTATTTTTTTTCTACAGATTCTTGGATAGAGCTGCGATCGTTACTCCTGATGATGAGGCTGAGAAGGTGGAGAGCGGATCGAAATATGATCCGTGGAGGCTCTGCTCAGTGACTCAAGTTGAAGAAGTGAAATGTGTTTTAAGACTCTTACCAATCTGGCTCTGCACCATTCTCTACTCTGTGGTTTTCACTCAAATGGCTTCACTGTTCGTTGTGCAAGGCGCTGCGATGAAGACAAACATCAAAAACTTCCGGATCCCAGCTTCAAGCATGTCTAGTTTCGACATTCTCAGCGTGGCCTTCTTCATTTTCGCTTACAGGCGGTTTCTAGATCCGCTCTTTGCTAGACTTAACAAAACAGAACCTAACAAAGGTCTCACTGAGCTTCAGAGAATGGGGATTGGTCTCGTGATTGCGATAATGGCGATGATTTCAGCGGGAATCGTAGAGATATACAGACTGAAAAATAAGGAACAGGGAAGTTCTTCAGGCTCGAGCTCTTTGAGCATATTCTGGCAAGTACCTCAGTACATGTTGATAGGTGCATCAGAAGTGTTCATGTACGTTGGTCAACTCGAGTTCTTCAACAGCCAAGCTCCAACTGGGCTAAAGAGCTTTGCAAGCGCGCTATGTATGGCTTCAATATCTCTAGGAAACTATGTAAGCAGTTTGTTAGTTTCCATTGTCATGAAGATCTCTACAACAGATAAGTTTCCTGGCTGGATTCCTGAAAATCTCAACAAAGGACACTTGGAGAGATTCTACTTCCTCTTAGCTGGTTTAACCGCAGCTGATTTTGTGGTTTACCTGATTTGTGCGAAATGGTACAAGTATATCAAGTCTGAAGCAAGCTTCTCCGAGTCCATGACTGAAGATGAGGAAGTCTGAGTCAGAGCTAGAGAGTTTTTGTGTGTGTTATATGCTGTGAAGCTTTTTACAGTAATGTTCAAAGCTGAGCTTGTTCTGTAACATAAACTGGTCTTGTTGTGCTTTTTTGGCTACTATTGTGCAAAATTTTGTTGATTGTTTCGAAAATAAAGACAAGTTGATTCCACTCACAGTTACAGCAATCTTTTTCTCATAAACTTTGAATCAGTTAAATTAAACAATTAACAACAGCACTGTAAATATTACAATACTAATAATAAATGTCTCAGTGCAAAAGAACACAGTTAAATGTGAAACTGCAGAAAAAGCTATATTCATCATCATCATCATCATCGTTGTTCAACAACCTCCAAACCTTCAAAACTTTGTGATCGAATGTTTTAATATACATGAAAAATCCAGTGGATGTAGTCAAGGCTCTTTTGAAGTCTAGGTTGTGATTCGGATTATGGTCGGGGAAAGGTATAACCCGACATAGATTGGATTCACCGTAGAAATCATGAGCTATAAAGTGCTCTTGGGGGCACATCAAGAGTCAAGACCATCAATACCAAACGGAGATAAATAAAGCACCCCATGCAGACTCATAGGAGGACTGACGCCTGTGAAGTAATGTGGGCAATGAAGCTTCTTGCAAGTGCAGAGGCCTGTCTCAGAGGAATACACACAAAAACACAAACAAGCGTCATTGCAATATAGCCGTAATCACTTTGAAGCTCAAAACAAACACCATCGACGTCCACACGTACGCGTCACCAAACCAGACAACCTAGTTCCATGGAGGGGAAGGGATTTTAAATTTAAGCCACTATTGTAAACGTGGATTACCCACATAGGAAACACCACCAAGAACTCCATCCATCAAACCAATCCGTTAGAAGAAGCCAAATAAAGCGTATTTCAATATCCTCGATGTAAGAACCTAGAGACTTTGTGCTTTTTTGGCTACTTTTGTGCAAAATTTCGTTGATGTTTCTATAATAAAGATAAGTTGATTCCACTCACAGTTATAGCAAGCAAATCTTTTTCTCATAAACTTTGAATCAGTCAAACTAAATAGTTAACAACAGCACAGTAAAAATTACACTATTAATAAATCAAGAACTTAATGTCTCAGTGCAAACAGTTAACTGTAAAACTGCAGAGAAAGCTTTATGAGAACTATTAACCAACTTTCCTGATTTGTACTGAGTAACTAACATCCTGAGAGCAAGCCTAACGTTCATGCTTAGGTCTTTTTCTCTGTGGTCCCTCGAGCTGTTGCTATCACTCAAGAGTAACAATGACATACAAAATCGTGATCCAGCCCCAGCTGGCGTTACAACAAGAGAAACAACAGAGCCAGTTCTCTCTATCTGGTCATCATTTTATGAAGAAAGGAACTTGGCAAAGAATTCGTCTTGGTAGCTGTTTTTACCAAGAGAATGTAATTGACGTAGGAAGAGAATGTGTTTTGTTCTTCACATGGTTCTATGTTTAAGAGTATCTTCCTGAAGATGGCATTCGTTGCAGAGACCGTTGAAAGTCTGGCTTTAGACGCTTGTTTGGCATCCCGGCAAATGATCTACACATCAACACGAAAACCAGTTGTAATAAATATCAACTAACACATATATATATTTTCGGAAATCATAGACATAATAAAGAACAAACCGTGGAGATCCTTGTCGCTTATGCAAAGGTTGATCAAGCATTGATCTCACACTACACAGTGCTCTCTCAGCAGCCTAAAGGTAAGAACATCAGAGAAGGGGAAATATGGAATCAGAATAATTTTGAAGCAAGAATTTAGTTGAGTTACCTGCATTCTAGCTTCATCCCATGTCGATCCAACTCCTTCCCCTAGAACACGCCCATCTATTTCAACCTGCAATATATTACAAAGAGAATCAAGAGGGGTCTGCAGTGTAGATATCTCAAACCAAATGAACAGATATGGAATATACTGATGGCCTTGAAGAACATGTCATGAATCTTTTTTTTTTCTTTTATTAAATGCTGTTCAGAATTTAACACTTTAACCCTTTTGTGTTCTAATCTTTATGGGTGCGAACCTGAGCATGTAATTCATCTCTGTGGACCATGTCAGATGAAAGTGGACGCTGAGATTGAAAAGCCATCTCAAAACCCTCCGATGCACACTAGAGTTTGGTTCAGGAAATAAATCGTGAGAAAAATAATATGCGGAAGTGAGAAAGCAACCTTATCAACCAACAGCAGCCAGATTAAGGAGATACATACCAATTCCCTAAGCGCAGTAATGGAGCCAGTGTGCCTCATAGAACTTTCTAATCTCGGATCTGTAGGTCTAGAAGGAACTGGCATCGCTGTTTCATCTCTAGCAAATGGCTGATTATCAAGCGCATTTGCATTTCCCATAATCACATTTCCATTGGTGAAGGGGTTAGCATCTCTGTGGCTAGGCCCTGGGTTACCATTTGCATGCATATATACATCTGCAGAAAAAGAAGAAATTCAGGAAACAAACAAACACATATCCCAAGAACAATGTGAATGAATCCAACTGATATTAAACCTGGCTAAAGGGAAGGGACCCACAGTTTTCTAATATATTTAAGTTCTAACATACTGACACACGACCGACTGTGGTGGCAGTTCTCATACTTCTTTACGAGGACTAACAGGAAGCTATAATAGGTCTATTAACAACTTTGACCTCTACTATGAGTAGTAGGCGTGGGTTTTCTACAGACTAAACAGATTGGTTGAAAGAGATCTACACCCTAGAATAGCTATCAACAATGTGAAGGTGTAGTTTAGCAACTAAAACAAATAACATGCACCCAATGTTGCAGAACCAAACAATATATATCTCAAATAGTATTCCAGTATTCCTGCAGACAAAGTTTAAAACACGTGTATATCATGAGTGAGAATGTCTTACCAGCTAAGTTCTGTATGGAAACTTCAGCAGCCTTGTGCAGGGCTTCTCGTCTCGATTTGCCAATCCCTTCTCCAATTTTTTCACCAGAAAACCAAGCCTGCAAAGAAAACATAGATTTAGTGTACAGTTGACACAATCAAGAAAGGTAACTCACCAAGGGAACAGAGAATCTCAAAGAGCACAAGGTTCCACCGAAATTACTCCCAGCAAACAATAGGCAAGAGTATTTTCAAGCAGATAAGTCTAAGAGATATATGTACCTCAACAGAGAACCGCAAATCTGTACTAGCAACCAAACTTGGTTTGTACTCCACCTACAATGTCATAGAATATATAACACATCAACTCATGTATGGAATCAATGGTAATCATGATGATATTCACATACCTTGGTACCACATTTGATAGCAATTCCATGTAAAACATCAGCAGAAGTCTCTGTTGCTGAGACACTTCGTTCAGGTAGGAAGTCAAGATCACTGTTCCTAGAAGAAGATTGACTCCAAGACGCCTCCTCCCCTTTAGAGTCCATCCCAATTCCTCAGTCAGTAAATTATAATAAACAAAATGATACAAGAAGAAATAACTTTGATGGCGTACCATAGAAAGGATGAGAGCCAGGCAGATTGTTGTTTGACCGTAATTGTTCATCTCTCCGGAGCGACTATAAATATATGACAGTGAGCACCAAACAACATAATTAGCAGTACAAAAAGACCAAAAAAATTGACAACTGATGAATCATAGGTCAAATAAGATTAGTGGTACCTCCTTCGGCGGCCTGCGATTCTCATGAAGCATCCTGTCAGATTGAGTTGAATTGTCAATCTTAGAAAAATATGATGGATGGCGAGGCCTATGCTTGTCCATAAGAATCATTTCAGAATCCAATGGATATTCTTTGGAGACTGCTCGATGGATTTGAGCTGGATCCATCTCCTCCTCAACAGGAAACCAACCATTTCTTGGTTGCACATGTGGGGGTGGAGCTTGAACTGGAGGTCTCTGAGGAAATGGAGTTTCACTTGGAGCAGGATCCCTAGTATCTTGTCCATGCTGCAATATGAGGAGCCTCCTCCTAGTATCTGGATCTAACTCTGATTCAGGTACCTCACCTTCCTCTCTAGCAGGAGAACTTTGCAAGCTTGGTTCTACAGGAACCAAGTGTTTAGCTACTGATGTTGGTTGTTGAAACGGAATACTTGGAAAGGCCATAGCTGATGGTTGTGGTGCTTGTTGCACGACTGGTACTGGTACTGGTACTGAAACAGAAGAAGCAGAAACAGAAACAGAAGCCATGGGATACTGAACGGGAGCAGCTACCCTTGGATCTATATTTGGCGTCGGAAGGACAACTGAAGAAGCAGAAATTGCCTCCTGAATAAAAGGGAAACATGTATTAATTTTCATGATAGGGCAGAAAACATCAAACCAGAAGACATGTTAACTGGAGTTGACATCCTTATTGGGATCACCACAGTAACTCTCTAACAAGGGAGCCTCAAAATTTAATCACCTTCAGTCTTCTCTCAACTTCCGCATCAGCCATTCCGTCAAAGGAAAGTGGATCTTTGCTCGCATTTAAAGATGTATCGTCCTGTATTGAAAGAAAATGAGCTACTGGGAAGCAGTTTGGAGAGAGAATATATCTATATTGTCGCATAAAAATGACACAAGCTCCCAGAATGCCTAGAAGAGACCTAAAGAAATCTCGCAATCACTAACAAGTATCATGACTAACCTCCGACACTAAATAATGGCTGACATCAGGCGGAGAAGGAATGTCCTCAGCATCATTCTCATAAGATATTTCAGCAATTCTTGGTAGCAAACAATCATCGAAATCCCTGCAAACAAGTTTAAATACCATTTCCCCGTCAGTAGGTACTACGGAAGCACTCTTGATGATAGAGATGCAAGGTAACAAACATCTACTATCAGATTTGAGATCTTACCTGAAAAATCCACCTCTGACACCACAAGCAACGTTTCTGGCAACGCATAGTACTGGTGTTGCAGCGGCCTACAGAAAAGGAAAATAGCTATATGTAACACCATTCAGTTAAGAAAATTGAGGACTATTGCTTCTGATAGAAATTGTGCCCAAACCAGGCCCACAAGGACCATTGCGTAGACATCACCACAAAAGCTAGCCTATGGGTTAGGGTGTTCTAAGGTCTTATAAGGTTTTGATTTGTTTCATTTTATATGACGTGTGATTCTTTGAATACAAATATTCTTATCATATTCACATGCTCCTGAAATTTTCAAACCAAT